TTTTTTTTTTTTTCTGTCGGTTAATGATTAATTTTATTTTTTCATCTTTTATAAAAAAAAATTACTGGGCTGAGGAGAAGAAACGGAGACGGGGTATGGGGGGTATGGAGGTTATTTCTTTTCAGTAATGTTTTGATATTTGTTTATTTAATCACTTCTTTGTCGTTTATTCATTCATTCGTTCACCCCATTCATTTGTTCATTTAGTTACTTCATTCATTTGTCCATTCATTCACTGATTGATTCAGTCAATCAGTCCAGTTTAGTTATTTCAGTTATTTACAAATTCAGGAAGTAAATTTTCTTGTAGAAGAACTTTTTGGAAAACGCGGGGGAGTGCAGTATTGTATATGCAAAACTGTTGTTGCTCTTTTCATTGCTATGCTGTTCTTTTCTGTTTCTGTCTCCCCCTCTTTTTTTTTTTTTGTTTTTATGCATTGAAGAGGGAGGGGGAGGCCAGTCAAATTTTGTCTGAGCTTAACCGCTCAGCAATTAGTGTGTCCAAGTAAGTTATGTATCGGAATAGAAGAGGAGAGAACGGGGAGGAGTGGGAGAAGGGGAAGGGGAAGAGGGGGGAAGTGTTTCGCCAAATTCCTTAATGGTTCTTTGGTTTTTATAAGGACATTGAAGTTGGTGTGTAATCTTTGCGCTTAACCGAAGTTTTTCAACTTTTTTCTTGCATTTTTTTTTGTCCTCTCGATTATGAGTAATTGAACGTCTTCTTTTTTTTCCTTTTGCTTTTGCAAAATTTTTGCCTAGTTTATTTGAAGTAGAATCGGCTTCTTTATCGGTTTGCTCCTTCTTCTTCTCGTTCACCGCATTCTTCTCCGTTTTCGGTGTCTGCATCTTAGTCGTCATACGTAAACCAAAATTATAAGCGGAGAAGGAGCGTACACAAACACTGAAAATAAAAAAAAGTGGAAGAAAAAAAGACTGCTATAAATCTGTAGGTGTTTTTTTTTCATGGAAAAATTGGAAGAGAAGCAAAAATATTTTTCTTGACAGGTCATCTTTCACCTAACCAAGAAATCTTCTTCATCGCCATCATCTTCCTTCCTTTTTTCTCAGTTTTTTTACTGAAGAGGGCTTTTTTTTTGTGTTTGGGTGTAAATTTGTGGATTATTGTAAAGAGAAAAAATTTTTTTTGTCTTTTTCATCATCGTCAACTTCGTCATCGTCTTCGTCATCGTCATCATCGCCGTCGTTGTTATTTCTCTTATTGTAATCATCTTTTGATCAAATTGTTTTTTTTTTTTTTAAAGAAGCCAAAGATTTTCGTATGAAATGTAGTTTTGGCTATTTCTTTCTTATTAGACATTAATGAAAACAGTTGATACAGAGGAACAGTTATAGCTGTCGTTGGTTTTATGCTAAGATAAAACTTTTTTAGTTTGTCTGGTGAAACCAATGCTTTCTTTTTTGGATGCTCTTTCAGCAGTCCAATTCTTTTCAGAGGAAGAGAGGAATGAGCCATCGGC